CTGATGTCTACTGACTCGCGGCGAAAAGTAGTAGGCGTAGCTTCCAGGACAAAGTGTACCCGAATCAATTTCCACTGCAAGCATGAAGGGATCGGCTCGGTTCGGTTCGGTCCGGTTCTGCAGCCGGGTCGGTTTTGCTTGGCCGGTTCGGTTTGGCATCGGTCCGGTTTCGGCCGGTTCGGCTTGGGCCTGCCGCCGGTTCGGTTCGGTTCCGGTTTTCGCGCGGTTGGGTCCGACCGGTTCGGTTCGGTTCGAGTGGCCGCTCCGGTTCGGTTCGGCCCGATTGGTCAGGTGCGACGTTGGGCGCCCCGTCTGCGTAAGCGACGACCCAGTTTGAAAAAAAGGGAGGGAGGAGGAGGAGGAGGAGGAGGAGGAGGAGGAGGAGGAGGAGGCGGAGGCGGAGGCGGAGGAGGGAGGAGGAGGACGACGAGGAGGAGAAGGAGGAGGAGGAGGAGAAGAAACGTGGAGGCGTGGAGGCGCGAGGCCCTCCAGCGACGTGCCCCGACGGGGGTCGCAGCCCCGAGGGGGGTCGCAGCCCCGAGGGGGGTCGCAGCCCCGAGGGGGGTCGCGCCCGCGAGGGGGGTCGCGCCCGCCAGGGGGGTTGCACCCGCCAGGGGGGTCGCACCCGCGAGGGGGGTCGCACCCGCCAGGGGGGTCGCACCCGCCAGGGGGGTCGCAGCCCGCCAGGGGGGTTGCACCCGCCAGGGGGGTCGCAACCGCCAGGGGGGTTGCACCCGCCAGGGGGGTCGCGCCCGCCAGGGGGGTCGCACCCGCCAGGGGGGTCGCGCCCGCCACGGGGGTCGCGCCCGCCAGGGGGTCGCACCCGCCAGGGGGGTCGCGCCCGCCAGGGGGGTCCGCCCCGCCAGGGGGGTCGCGCCCGCCAGGGGGGGCGCCCGCCACCCGCCAGGGGGGTCGCGCCCGGGGGGTCGCCACGCCCGCGCCCGCCAGGGGGGTCGCGCCCGCCAGGGGGGTCGCCGCCACCCGCCAGGGGGGTCGCACCCGCCCAGGGGGGTCGCGCCCGCCAGGGGGGTTCGCACCCGCCAGGGGGGTTGCACCCGCCAGGGGGGTTGCGCCCGCCGCCCGCCAGGGGGGTTGCACCCGCCAGGGGGGTTGCACCCGCCAGGGGGGTTGCACCCGCCAGGGGGGTTGCGCCCGCCAGGGGGGTTGCGCCCGCCAGGGGGGTTGCACCCGCCAGGGGGGTTGCGCCCGCCAGGGGGGTTGCGCCCGCCAGGGGGGTTGCGCCCGCCAGGGGGGTTGCACCCGCCAGGGGGGTTGCGCCCGCCAGGGGGGTTGCGCCCGCCAGGGGGGTTGCACCCGCCAGGGGGGTTGCGCCCGCCAGGGGGGTTGCACCCGCCAGGGGGGTTGCACCCGCCAGGGGGGTTGCGCCCGCCAGGGGGGTTGCACCCGCCAGGGGGGTTGCACCCGCCAGGGGGGTTGCGCCCGCCAGGGGGGTTGCACCCGCCACCCGCCAGGGGGGTCGCGCCCGCCAGGGGGGTCGCGCCCGCCAGGGGGTTGCACCCGCCAGGGGGGTTGCGCCCGCCAGGGGGGTTGCGCCCGCCAGGGGGGTTGCACCCGGGGGGTCGCGCCCGCCAGGGGGGTTGCACCCGCAGGGGGGTCGAAGTCGCTGTCGCTGTCGCCGCCGCCGCCGCCGCCGTCGCCGCCGCCGTCGCCGTCGCCGTCGCGGGTCGCCAGGGGGGTCGCCAGGGGGGCTGCCAGGAGGGTCGCCAGGGCCCCCCCCGGGGCTCCCCCGCGGCCCCCCGACGACGACGGCGACGACGACGACGACGACGGACGCTTGCCGACGCCCGCGCCCGCCGACGCCGCCGCCGTCGTCGGTCGTCGTCGGTCCGAAGGTGTTGTTTGTTTGGTTTTCCTGCTTTTGCCCCCCGCGGGGGCTTCGGGGGCCCGACAGGGCACACCTGCTGACACCAGGCTGGAATAGATTCCAAGAGAAAAGGTTCTGGGACCGATTTTGAGCGGACCGTCGTCGTCGTCGTCGTCGTCGTCGACGATCGTCGTCGTCGTCGTCGTTGCGCGCGCCCGCCAGCCAGGTGCTGGATTCGGCGGACTCCAACGGGGTCCCGGGGGTCCTTGGGTCCCGGGGTCCCGCGGTCTGGGGGTCCTGGGGCCCTGGGCCCTGGGGCCTTGGGGCCCCGGGACCCCGGGGGCCCTTGCCAAGGACCCCGGGGGGAGGAGGAGGGAGGAGGAGGAGGAGGAGGAGGAGGAGGAGGAGGAGGAGGAGGAGGAGGAGGAGGAGGGGGAGGGAGAAAGGGAGGGGGGGGGAGGGGGAGGAGGAGGAGGAGGAGGAGGAGGAGGAGGAGGGAGGAGGAGGAGGAGAGGAGGAGGAGGAGGAGGAGGAGGAGGAGGAGGAGGAGGAGAGGAGGAGGAGGAGGAGGAGGAGGAGGAGGAGAAACGGAGGAGGAGGAGGAGGAGGAGAAGGAGGAAGAGGAGGAGGGGTCGCGGGAATCTTCGGGAGGTTCTGGGGTCATCGGGGTCCCGGAGTCCTGGGGGTCATCGGGGTCCTGGGGTCCGGACCAGAGGGGAAAGGGGTTCGGTTCGGTTCCCGTCGGTTCGGTTCAGGGGCCGCCCGGTTCCGGTTCGGTTCCGGTTCTGGTTCGGTTCGGTCCTCGCCGGTTCGGTTCTGAATGAATTCGGTTCGGTCCGGTTCGGTTTTCTACGTTCCTGGTTTTGGACCGGTTCGGTCCGGTTCGGTCACGGTTCTCGGTTCTCGGTTCGGTGCGGCCCCTTCATGTGCAAGCTCATTCCCGATTCCACTACACACTTGCGAAAATTTGGCTGACTGGAGGGCAGCCACGTCACAAGCTCACGGCGAACGTCATCGGCGGGAGCAGCAAGGCCGCTTCGCGCAACCTCTGGCGACCCATGATCCACAGCGCCAGCACTGGCGTGGGAGTGCACGTCAGCAGCAGCAGCGACAGCAGCAGCAGCAGCAGCGGCGGTCGCAGGGCATGGCGGGCGGCCAGCCCCCACTACCTTGTCCGCACTGCCTCAGCAGTCGTACTCCCAGGGGCCTGAGCTCGGTCCGCAGTAGTACCGGCGTCTGGGCAGGTCATGGGGCCAGCCAGCGGCGGCAGCTCTCTCCGGCCGCGGCGCACCCTGCAGCAGCAGCAGGCCGGACGAGGATGCGAACGAATACGTCGAGCGGGTGGTAATACCTGAATGGGGGGTGAAGAAAATGACCCTAAAGGGGCTCTTTTGGGCACCAACTTGCTCCAAAAAGGGGCCCTAAAGGGTTCCTTTATGACCCTTCTCTTCACCCCCCATTTGCGTCACAGCCCCCATTACCACACGCCCGAATGGCGGCGACGTCGTCGGTGGAGCGGGCTGCACGCACCGGCAGTCTCCATGGTGGTCCTGATGATCGGGCCGAACAAAAGGGGGGGATTGGGAAAGGGGGGTTACGAAATCTGCTGCATGCAGCTGGTTTCGGCCTCCCCCCGGGCCCATTCCTCGATACACTGGCGCTTGCCGGCGCTGGGAGGTGCTGGGAGAATCAGCCACGTGAGATGATTCTTTACCCTGCCCTTTGCTGTCCCCCCGAGACGAACGTCAGCTGCTGGCGGCGGCGGCTCGGAAAGGCCGCAGCAGGGTCCAAGACGATGACACCATTTTCGGCGCGGACGTAGGAGAAGAAGCACAGGGCGGATCCGCAGCACGACGCCACACAGGGCGGTCGTTCAGGAAGGCCGCAGGCCGTAGTCGCGGGCTGGGCAGCAGTGGCCGCCTCGGCCTTCGCCCTTACAAGCACATAGTCTGGCAGTCGTAAGTCGGGCGCGTCCCTCCACAGGAGGAATATTCGAAAATAGTCAGACAATAGTCGGGAGACGATGTTTTGAGCATTTGTTTGACAATTTGGGTGCATTATTTGACTATTTTTTATTTTTCTTCCAAAATCCCTCTGCAGGAGGACAGGCCCGACTTAATGGTAGTCTCTCGGCCACGGCCATGGTCCTCATTGCGGCCGCAGCGGCAGCCCGCGCGCCACAGCCTGACACCATGGGCGGCAGGACCAACTCGCCAGCAGTAGCAGAACAATGGCGTGGGCATGCGAACTCATCGGAGTCGGCAGTGCTGTGCGAGAGGTCCTCGGGCGGCTGGATATATGTCTCGGCAACAGCAGCTGCATCAGCGGCATCACACGTCGAAGAGCGCGGGGACGTAGCCAGCGGCGGCGGGACGCTCCGAGCCGGGAGTGGAAACGGAACACGGGCCCGAGAGGTCTGCCAGGCTTGGGAACAGCACCAGGAGCAAGCCCAGCTGCACGCACTGGACCGACAGCCGGCGCACGAAGAGGCACACGAGGATGAGCGTCCGATCGAACGGGCTCGTCTCGGCGGGCCAGGCCGCAAGCGTTAAGTCGGGCCTGTCCCTCTACAGGAGGAATATTCAAAAAAGTCTGGGGACGATGTTTTGGTTCTGGTTGTGCTATGTTTGGGCATTGTTGTTGCTATTGTTTGTTTTTCGTCCAAAATCCCCCTTGTAGGGACACAGGCCCGACCTAACGCAAGCGAGAGCGAGCGCGGCACCATTGCCCAGCCGAGGACGTCGGCCGACTGGCCGCGAAGCCAGGCCTCCGCACAGCGGCGCGGAGCGGCGGAGCTCTGGCCTCGGCCGTTCGAGGCGGCGGCGCACGGGCCTCGGGCCCCATGGGAAACGTCTCCATTCGCTATGGAGCTTCGGGCCAAGATGGCCACGGAGTGGAGGAGGGAGGAAGGAGAAAGGAGGAGGGAGGAGGGAGGGGTGAGGGAGGAGGAGTGGGGAGGGAGGAGGAGGAGGAGGAAGAGGAAAAGGAGGAGGAGGAGGAAGAGGAGGAGGAGGAGGAAGAGGAGGAGGAGGAGGGGGAAGAGGAGGAGGAGGAGGAGGAGGGAGGGAGCAGGGAGGGAGGAAGGAGGGAGGAGGGAGGGAGGAGGGAGGGACCAGAGGAGGAGGGAGGGAGGGACCAGAGGAGGAGGTCCCCCCTCCGCTGGCGCCCCCCCCAGGCGGTGTGTCAGACCCTGCCGCTCCAGCGGCCCGAGGCGCAGGCCGCGTCCTTCTGTCCCTCCCACGCGGCCGGCCGCCGCGCCCCCCCTCCCCTCTTGGACAGGGTGCTGCAGATCCGATGGAACCTTGGTCGAATACGTCCAACGCGCCACGACGCGCAGAATTTGAAGAAGAGACAACGCTACAACCATAACCTGTTGACGCCACGCGCGGAGCGCCGAAAATTTATGTTGATGAAGTTTGGTTTTCTTCTAAACATGCCACACGACGCGCAGAATACCTCGTGAGGCTCCATCACATAGACAGCTGAGTGACGTTGCGAAAGCGGTGGACATGGCGAATGGCCTCAAGAGTCTCAAACCACTACAACACAACGTGGACATGGCGAGTGCTGCACCGGCAGCCAGACCTCAATCCGCGCCATCGCAGGTAGAGACAGCCGGGTGGCCAACCCAAGCGCTAGGACGACCCGCGGCCGCTCCTCTCCTCCGCCTTCCCCGCTGCTGCCGTCGTCGTCGTCGTCGCCGTCTTTGCGTCGCTGCGCTCGTTCGTCCGTCGTCGTCGTCCTCGCCGTCGTCTTTGGTCGTCGCCGTCGTCGCCGACGCCAGTGGCCGCCTGTTTTCCCTCCAGCCTGGGCCTCGCGCCCTCTCGGGGTGCGCGCGTGGCCAGCCGAGAATCCAAGAATCCTCCGCCTTCCCCTCCTCCACCCGGACACGTCGCAATGCCGTCATCCGGCTGGCCCGAGCGCGCGTGCGGACTGCCTCTGCCGCGCTGCGGCGTCACAAAGTGTTTGACGGTCCTGGGGCTCGGCGAGGGCCGCCAGACGCCGCAGACACCGAATGTTTGTCCCTCCCTCCTCGTGCCCCCTCCTCGACGCCCGACGCCCTCCTCGCCCTCTTCCGCTCCGCAAGAGGCCGCCCTGGGAGGAGGAGGACGAGGAGGATGGGGCGCCCGCCCCACCTCCTCGACGCCCTCCTCACCCCCCCTCCGCTCCACGAGATGCCACCCCAGAGGAGGAGGAGGAGGAGGAGGAGGAGGAGGAGGAGGAGGGGTCGCCTGGCTTCAGTTTGATCACCAGCCCCCAGGCCGACCGGCCCTGGGAGGGCGAGGGCGGCACTCGAGGATCTTCCACGCCATCAGGAAAAGGGAGGAGGACGAGGAGGGAGGAGGGAGGACGAGGAGGAGGGAGGAGGGACCGTTAGCAGCAGCAGGGAGGAGGGAGGAGAGAGGACGAGAAGAGGGAGGAGGACGGAGAACGAGGAGGACGAGGAGGAAGACGAGGAGGAGGGAGGAGGGAGGAGGGCCTCTGCTCCGCGAGCAGGCCGCCCTCGAGCCCCTGCTTCCCGCGCTCGCGGACCGCCTCGCGGACGCCAACGCGCGGGGCCTGGCCCGCCGCTTCGGCGCGGCCAGCCGCCGACCAGCGCCGGCGGGCGGCGGCGTCGTCGTCGTGGTCAGTTCTTTTCGGGCAGAACCAGAGCCAGGGGAGCCGGCCGGTGACTGGGACCCGAGGCCCAAAAAGTTGATAGAATCAGTGAACCAAGTCTGCCGTGCCTGGTGCTTCTTCGGGCGACGGCAGGTCCGGTTGCTGGATTGGGCGAATGCGGCGAGTGATTGTCGAACTCACGACCTTAGGATTACGAGACCTACGCGCTGCCAGCTGCGCTATCGCCGCCTTGGAGAATCCGACGCCGCATGGCGCAAATTACTTGCACCTGTCCAGCCCAGGCGAGGGGCGGGGCGGGGGGGCGTCCCTCGGTACTTTTTAGTCAGCGGCCGCAGGCGGACAGGCGGCGGTCGGGCGACGGCGGGTTCGCGCCAGGGCAACGAGGCACGAGGGCAGAGGAGCCCGAGGCGCGAGGCGGCCGGAAGCAGAGTTGCCACACTCAGATCATGCAATTACACAGGGCATCCCATGCGGCGTCCCCCGGTGCCCAGCACTGGACCAGGCCCCCATGGGCCCAGTGCCGCCAACGCCCGCCCGTTGCCCCTGAGCCTCTGCGGCCTTGCTGAGGCCCGCGCGATCAAGACGGCGGCCGACGCGCACGTGGACCTGGCCAGATGCCCCGCCGCCGCGGCCCCAGCGGCGCGCGGGGGTGGCCGACGGTCACCCGGTCGCCTCCCCCCTTCTTGGGGCCGTCGGGCGGTCTGAGGTGGCCCCATACTGGTGCTGGCCAGCGGGAAGGGGGGTAGGTTCGAGGTGCTGGGTTCGACAGGGTTGTTTGCCTTGTTCGGCCCCCTGGGGCCGTCGTCGGGCTTCGGGACAGTTACAAAAACGGATCCGGGGAGAAAAATTCCACCACCAGATGGAACCTGGGAGGGGTCTGGGGGCCGATGTTGAACGGATTTGCCCTTAGCCTTCTCCACCCTTCTCGGCTGATTGCGAAGGCCTTACGGTCAGAGCCGCCGACACCACTGACGGGGGACGACGACGGCGGCGGCGGCGGCGACGACGACGCTAACGTGGGCCAGAGTCCCCAGGGATACTTCTTAGAGGCCTCTTGGGGAGTCTTGGAGGCCTCTTGGGTCGTTTGAAGGCTAGCCTGAGCGTCTTGGACCGATCGTTCGCCGATTCGACGCACTCTTGGACCATCTTGGGGGCGTCTTGGGACACTCTTGGACCTTCTATGGGGCCTTTTTTGGCTTTGGGACCCCAAGGGGAATGTTACTCTGACAACACCCCTCCTGGCCCCCTCCCTGCGGGGAAGGGATTAAAGGGAAGGAGGTTCCCTTCGACTCAACTATGACGTTGCTCGATTTCGCTTTTGCTGGTGCGCTTGAGGTGGAGGGCCCAGGGAAAGGGAGCGGCGACGGCGACAACGACGACGACGACGATGACGACGACGAGTCAAACGAAGCAGCGTCTTGCACACGCCGACGGGGTCGGCGGATTTTCCCGAAGGCCATCCAGTTCAGACCCCCCAGTCGCCTCCAGCTCCACCCTTCCCTCTTCATGACCCCCCGCCGTCATCCCCGCTTCCCCCCGCCGCGCCCACACTGGCAGAGTGTGCATACAGTCAACCCGCACAGTAAGGACGGGTAACATTCCCAAGGGTACCCGTGCATCCTTGCCTCCTCGGTCCATCCTCGGCGAGTCTCGTTCGCCGCGCCGCGCTCGAAGAGCTTCGACATGGGCGTCCAAGGCCCTCGCATCCTTCACCTCATGATACGGGTTGGCTGTACGGCTCTCTTCTCTGCCCCAGAGGCGTCTGGCGAGCGGCGCGCCCCCCGTCCGCGGATGGTTATGTAGCACAGGACTGGCACGAGCTGTTTTTCCCTCCTCCTCCTCCTCCTCCTGCTCCTCCTCCTCCTCCTCGTCCTCCTCCTCTGGACTCAGCTCCTCCTCGCGCCCGACGTCCCGCCCGCCCGACCCGCCCGTGGGGGTCCGCCCGTCGGGGCCTGCTCGCTCGACTGCAGTCCCCGCCCGCTGGGCACGCCCGTTGGGGCCCGCCCGGCCGCCTGTCTTCAGTAGCGAAAGAAGGACACGCGCGTGCACGAGTCCACGCCGGTTTCGAGAGTGCGCATTGCCCGAATGTTCGTATCGCGCGGCCAGTCTCGCGGATCGAGGGGCCGCGTTCGTGTACTCAGTTGGGCGCGTACGTCCTTTGTGGGCTCCCTATGTCTTGGGGCCCGCCCGCCAAACGCGCCCGTTCGGGTCTTGTCCCTTCGGATCCTGGCGTCTCAATGTTTCTCGAGCCGGGCGATTTCGCCTCTTGTCGGGCCCCATGACTCTCACAGATCGATCCGGCTCGAAAAATTTCGCCGAAAGATGCGGTCCAGGGCTCCTGGGCGTGATGTGGCACGATGTTGCAATTCTTCGCTACGTCGGATCTCAGTGTCCGACCGTTGCCAGGCTGCTGGCGAAGCGATCCGCTCGCGAGTCGGTCTTCCGGCGAAGCGGCTTGCTGGCGAAGCAGCCCGCCGCAGAAGCCGTCATGGTGCCAAGCCAGAGGGGTTGGCTGGGGTGCTCAGTACGGTCGGACCGAGGTATAAGATCGAGGTCGGTTCGGGGAGGGCACCCTCATGTTTCTCGTGTGTGGTGGATGTCATTGTGTATCCCAGGGGAGGGTGCCATCGAATGTTCTCGGTTTGGCAGACGGAAGGTCTCGTGTTCTTGAAGGATGTTAGTATGTTCTAGGTCCAGTTGTGCATACGCAAACAGCTCACCTAGCTGTTGTCGCAGATTGCCGCCCTGTCCAATCACACATATCTGTATATATATGTATATATGTATGTATGTGTATATATATATATATATGCATTTATATGTGTGTATGTGTGTTTGTATGTGTGTGTATATATATACGTGTTTGTATGCATGGATGCACGCATGCACGTACGTATGTATGTATGCGTGTATATATGTGTGTATGTATGTATGTAGGTCTGTCTGTCTGTCTGTCTGTCTGTCTGTCTGTCTGTCTGTCTGTCTGTCTGTCTGTCGGTCCGTCTGTCTGTCTGTCGTTATGTATGTATGTATGTATGGATAGATGGATGGATGGATGGATGTATGTATGTATGTGCATGTATGCATGCACGCATGTATGTATGTATGTCTGTATGTCTGTATGTATGTATGTATGTAAGTATGTATGTACACATATAACGGGGAACCAGGGTCTGAGGGCCAGGGGCCGGGACCACGACCACAAATGTGGAGCCTGGCGCGCCTGGAGCCCTGCCGGAGCGCCAGGGGCCGTCCAAGATCGCCCGAAGATGGCTTCGGAACGCTCGAAAACGCGCTCCGATGGCTCCGGATGCCTTTCAAGACGACTCCCATGACGCCAAGAAGGCCCCCGAAGGCCCCGAAGACACCCCAAGAGGCACCCCGAGAGAGCCCCAATAAGCAAAAATCGCTGATGTCCTATAAGAAAACTGTTATAATCGGCGTGTTCGCCTTTTGGGCTTCCACTGCGTCCAAGACGGCCCAAGAGGCACCCAAGATGGTCGAGGATGCCCCCAAGAGGACCCCAAGACGGCCCACGAGGGGGCCAAGACGGCCCACGAGGCGCCCTAGAACGCCCCAAGAAGCGCCCAAGAAGCCCCAAGAGGCCCGCATGAGACCCGAAAAAACACCAAAAGAGGCCCCGAAGACGCCCCAAGAGGCACCCCGAGAGAGCCCCCAATAAGCAAAAATCGCCGTTCTCCCGTAGGAAAACTGATATGTTTGGCGTGTTCGCCTTTTGGGCTTCCTCTGCGTCCAAGACGGCCCAAGAGGCACCCAAGATGGTCGAGGATGCCCCCAAGAGGGCTCCAAGGCGGCCCACGAGGGGGCCAAGACGGCCCACGAGACGCCTAAACCGCCCAGGAACGCCCCAAGTCGGCGCCCAAGACGGGGACGAGGAACCGAAAATGCGAGCCATTTGGCCGAAGAGGCTCCCAGGAGACCCCGAGAGGCTCCAAGAAGCGCCCAAGAAGCCCCAAGAGGCCCCCAAGAGACCCGACAAAAACACCATCAGAGGCCCCGAAGACGCCCCAAGGGGCACCCCAATAGAGCCCCAGTAAGCAAAAATCGCCGATGTCCTGCAGGAGAACTGATATTGTTGGCGTGTTCGCCTTTTGGGCTTCCACTGCGTCCAAAACGGCCCGGGCCCGGGCTCTGAGAGGCCTAAAATCGCCAATGGAAGCCCTCAGGCAGCAATCCCCGCAGCCCCAGACGGTCTCGAGACACCCCTAAGACGCCGTCCAGGGGTCTCTGGCGACGCACGATGCGTTTTCAACTGCCCTGGAGGCCCCCAAGACGCCCCAAGAGACTTTTAAGATGCCGCCCAACAGCGCCCCGAGAAGGCAAAATTGTTGATTCCCATTAGTTATTCAATGTTTTTGCATTCTCGCTGTTTCGCGCTTCTGGCGCTAAAGCACCTCCCAAGAGGCTCGAAATCATTCCAAGACTGCCCAAGAGGCCCCCAAGAGGGCCCCGAGACGGCCCAAGAGAGCCCCGAGACGGCCCCAGAGCCGCCCAAGACGGCTCAAGAGGGTCCCAAGAAGGCCCCAAGAGTGGCCCAAGAGAGGGAACGCGAACTGAAAAATCAAGCTCTCCGCCCCAATATGCCCCCAAGAGGCCCCAAGATGCCCCCAGGAAACCCTCAAGAGGCCCCAAGAGGCATCCAAGAGGCCCCAAGAGGCCCCCAAGAAGCCCAAAAGAGGCCCCAAGAGGTCCCAAGACGGCACCCAAAAGGCTTCAAAACTCTTTCTAAGAGGCCACCGAATACATGCCAAGAAGGTCCCATGACGACTTCAAGAAGCAGCCCAGGATGCTCTGAGGAGGCCATAAGAAACTAGCTAGAACTTGAGCGCGCGCGAAGCGCGCGATTGTTCTAGTATGTATGTATGGATGGATTGATGGATGTATGTCTCTATGTGCAGTTGTTTGTCTGTGTATATGTATGTGTGTATGTTTGTATGTATGTAAGTATGTATGACTGTATGTATGTATGTATGTACGTACGTATGTATGTATGCATGTATGTATGTATGTGTATGCCTGCATGCCTGCCTGCCTGCCTGCATGTATGTATGCATGTGTGTATGTATGTATGTATGTATGTATGGATGGATGGATGTATGTATGTATGTATGTATGTATGGATGGATGGATGTATGTATGTATGTATGTATGTATGTATACATGTAAACATGGATGTATGTATGTATGTGTGTGTATGTATGTATGTATGTATGTATGTATGTATGTATGTATGTATGTATGTATGTAAATATTGATGTATGCATGTGTGTATGTATGCATGCATGCATGCATGGTTGTATGTATGTGTGTATGTATGTATGTATGGATGGATGGATGTATGTATGTATGTATGCTTCGGATGTTCGATCTCCCCCCCGAGGGACGCTGGCAGCGGAAGGCCCAGAGTCGGGGGCGAAGGGCGCCCCGCGTCAGGAGCGCCCAGAAAAATGGTTTTCCGAAGGGAAGACTTGCCTTGACCAGGACTGGCTGCAGGGTTTGCGGGGCTGCTCTTCCGCAGGTCAGCTCGTGGCAGATCCTGCTCGACCTCGATCTCCCCCTCGAGTCTCCTAGCCCCATGCACCCTCATCGATCATCCTCGATCCTTCTCGATTCTCGATCTTCTTCGGTTTCCCGTGAACAGTAGATCCCCCCCCGCTCAACGATCATGCCCCCGTCCCTCCCACTTGTCCTAGGAAGGCGGGGAGGCGCTGCGCGGGAGCCCACCGCAGGTCGTCCCGCTTGGAGCGTCCCAAGAGCCCAGAGAGAGCCCCCGATCCTCGATCCTCAATAGTGTAACGAAGAATGACATAAAAATTACACCAGAGAAAAACCTCAATCAGTGGATTGTTTTCGCTGAGGAGATCCACCGGGAACCTGGGAGCCCGGGAACCCAGAACCCACCGAAATCGGCCCGGAACCAATAACAGGGAACCCGGGAACCCAGTTTGCTACCAAAATCGGCGGGAAATGTTCGCCAAATCTTTCACTTTCCACTAGGACCCCTTCAGTGCAAGCACTGATTGGGGAATGAATACCCGGAGGTCCGTGAGGATTTCTCGGATCGGCGCTGGACCCCCCTCCCTGGCGCGCGGAGCGGCGGATCCGCGCGGACCTCCGAATGTTTATGTTTATGTCATCCTTCGTTCCCTTACTCCATCCTCTCCTTATGATGTTCCAACCTACCTCAGGCTTGATCACCAGAAAGAATTTCGACCACCAGGAAAGTACTGAAACTTGAGGGTTTTCACGTGTCGTGCCTTGGGAGGCGATACTCGTTCGACACTGTTTCGATGTGTTCTGACTGCTCGGAATGATTCCTGGGATTCGGTCCTTAAGTACGATGGGAACAGCATAATCCTCTCTTGGAGTTTGGGTACGCCCCCACCTCTTTCCCGCTGCGAAAAGATACGTATCACGGCGGGCTGCTCTGGACAGTCTGCGGCTCCTCGGGGCCCCCTTCACAGGGCCCCAGGGCCCCTAGAAAGTAGCTCGGGATGGAAAATTGGTACGGGGAACGAGGTCCAGACCTCTGGGGGTCCACGTGGTGAAAAAACGAACGGCGCAGGATTGTTTTGTATACAGGCTTTTGCTGGGGGGAGATGGCAAGGTGCCTCGGGCCTCCCCACGCTCCTCCTCCCCCCTTCCCCTTCCATACAGGCAGCCTTGCCGGAGTCTGCAGTCGAGGCGCCAGCTCCAGGACCACTTCGGGCTCCGGAGGAGCCCTGCTCGTGGCCAAGGCTCGCCGTGGCCCCCTCGTGCCTCATTCGGCGCTCCTTCTCTTGGCATCGCTCGGACGAGTGCTTCGGTTTCTCGGCGAGGGCCACCGAGGAGCCTCCTGCCATCGCCTCGTGGGCAAACCCACGCGCGCGAGCTCGAGCAACTGCACGGGGAACGGGGGTCCGAGCGACGGCGAGCTCTGGCGGCGCAGTGCAAAACTGCACCCCAAACTGCACACCACGCGCGTTGGCTGCGCGGGAGGGTGTCGGGGGGGTTGGGAGAGGGGGGGGGGGGTCGGGGAACATTGAGAAAACGCCGCCCTATGAAGCCCGTACTCCCCCCAACCCGAAGTGCGGGCCTCCGGTCCGGGTTGGGGTGGTCGGGTAGGTACAGTCGGGGCCCTGAAGAAGGCACCCTTTTCGTTGGGAAGGGGCTCGGTGGTCCTTGATTGTTCTGCAGGTTGCCTCTGGCTTTCTTGAGGTTTCCCGAAGGAAATCGAAGTTCAACTTATGATAGAAAAGTACATCGTTCCTTATTGGGAAGGCCTTACGGCCGGTGCCGCCAACCCTGGAGACGGCGGCGTTGATCTTGGCGAAGAAGATGATGGGGAAGGCGCCTCGGGAGCAGGGGGAAGACCGCACAGATGAGGCGGAACAGGTGCAGACACAGAGAGAGGGAGAAGGAGGAGGAGCAGGAGGCGGAGAAAGAAGAGAAAGAGGAGGAAGAAGGAGGAGGAGGAGGAGGAGGAAGGGGGAGGAGAAGGAGGAGGAGGAGGAGGAGGAGGAGGAAGGGGGAGCAGGAGGAGGAGGAGGAGAGGCCTCGTTCCTTCTTTAGAGTTCCTTAGGTCAACGCCCCGACGGTACTCGAGGGAGGGCGCGCGTGCGCGTGGGGGGGCCCTTCGTCGCCCAGGTCGGCGCGCCCTTCGCCACCAGGCTCCTGCTGCAGCAGCCCAAGAAGAAGACCCGCGGCCTCTCCCGGCCCGGCTCGCCGAGGCTCGAGGCTCGAGGCTCGACCCAGAGCTCGCTCGAGGTGTTCGATCAGTTTCGAGGTTCTCGAGGTGTTCGAAAAATGTGGAGGTGTTCGAGGTGTTCCTAAGTTTTCAAGGTTTTCCTAGGTTTTCGAGGTGTTCGAGGTTTTCAGGGTCTTCGACCAGGGTTCTTCAGAAGTTTCGAGGTTTTCGACCGGGGTTCGCTCGGGGTTCGAGCTTCGGGCCTGGGGGTGGTCTCCAGAAGCTGCGCCTCGCCGAGAGCGTTCCTTGGGTGGCCGAGTCGTCCCGAACAGCCGCCCAAGACACGAGTTACGATCCACAGAAGCCGAGCGACTCGTCGGGTCCATCTCGATACAATCGGTCCGACCCGATGTCGATATCGATTTCGGCCGGCCAGACCCGACTTGATTCCGATGTTCCGGCGATCCTATGCGTCCCAATCCTGCAGGTGGCCCTGATGGGCCCCCTGGCGCGGCCGATCCCATCCGTTTCCTCATCCATGCCGATGCGGCCCGATCCGGGAAGACCGCGCCAGAGGTATCTTCCAGATCTCCGAAAGAGCGTGTTCTACCGCTGCTGGCGGAAAACCGGGGGGGGGTCACTACCGGTTCGAACCCCTCCCCCCCCCCCCCCCCTCCGGAAAACCGGGGGGGGTCACTACCGGTTCGAACCCCCCCCCCCCCCCCCCCCCTCGGAAAACCGGGGGGGGTCACTACCGGTTCGAACCCCCTCCCCCTCCCTCGAAAACCGAGTGGGGGTGCGGACAGTGGTGGGGACGGTGTTGGTGGGGACAGTGGTGAGGGGATAGCGGGACAGCAGTGGGACAGTG